TTAGGGGGAGAGGGAAGGGGCTGAGAAAACAGATGGGGCCACAAACAGAGCCCCTGGAATATCATTAATGACAGTCATCATGTTGGGTCTCTCCTCCATCTTGAATAAAAGAAAAAAAATAAGATATCTGAGGCACTTTTCTAAAATCAATATGCTCTGTAGCCTCCTTATCTAGTGGCTTCATAAATCTCTCAAAGTACGTAATTTTTTTAGTTTGGCATGACATTTTTGTGAGTTTATGTTGATTGCTCTTAACTCGTGCCTTCTTAAATGCATGTACACCTATCAATCTTACCTAACTTCAAAAATTCACCTTTTGTTTTGTTTTGCTTTTTATTTAAGCAGCATTTGCTGATCTCTTGTCTCTCTTATTGTCCTCCATGCTTCCAAGAGTTCACTAGCGGTGGTTCTGCTATCAGTTCTGTAAGATCTATCTGAATGCCATTCACTCGGCCCTAAATACTTGACCACTTTTTTTCATTTGGTTTTAGTTGCCTCTTCAACATTTATCCTACAGTTACTTATTCAGCACTTATTTTAGGTATTGAGTTAGAGATGAAAAACAAATTAATAGTTCTTGCCATTAGGAAAAACTGAAAAATAAATCAATAATTTCAACAGTGATAAGGGCTATGGTAGATATATGTATAGAGGCTCTAGGTTAGGAGAGACAGTTAACCCAACCTGGAGGAGGAAGGGAAGGCTTCCTGGAATGAGATGTCTTCTGAGCACAGGAAGGATTTGAGACTAAACATGTAGAAAAAGGAAAAGTAAACTTGGCAGAGAAAGAGCATGAGAACACTCAGAAGTAAGAGGGAACTCAGAAGGGTCAGGGAATGGGAAGTCATTTGGGCATAGGGATGAGTGACAGGAGATGGAGGGAAGACACTGCAGGATTTTATTCAGAGGAGTGATATGACCAGATAGCTCCTTCTGACTCAGATAATTGAAGTGTGTGCGCAGTAGGGAAGGGAGGGTGAGGCTGGAGAAAGGAGACACCTACCGGCATGAGGCCATTGAGGTAGTGATGGGAGAAATCCCAAGAGTGTCGACTAAGACAATGGAAGTGTGGATAAAAGAAAAAAATAGAGCAATAAAAATCTATTTGGGAGGTTAATGCGACAAGATGTAGCTATAGCCGAAACCGGTTTGGCTCAGTGGATAGAGCGTCAGCCTGCGGACTGAAAGATCCTGGGTTCAATTCCGGTCAAGGGCAGGTACCTTGGTTGCAGGCACATTCCCAATGAGGGTGGGGGGGAGGGTGCAAGAGGCAGCTGGTCGATCGACGTTTCTAACTCTCTATCCCTCTCAATTCCTTTCTGTGTAAAATCAATAATATATATATATATATATATATATATATATATATATATATATATATATATATATATTTTTTTTTTAATTTATTTTTTTTTTAAAGATGCAGCTATTGTATAAAGGATGAAGGAGGGGAAGCATCTCAGATGGTCCCAAGTAGCTGGCTTTGCAGACTCAGTATATGATGCTGCTATTGACCAGCAGGAAAACCTGTGGAAATAGGCTTAGAGGCAAATGAGTTCCCTTTGTGTTAACTGTGAAATATCTGCCATGTATTTGAGTAGAGACATGTTCTCACAAGTGGACACATGGGTCTGCAGTGCAGAGGATGGTCAACAAAGAAGACAGTTGAGTCATCTGCACACAGGAGTGGTAGGGCTCTTGGGGATGAACACGTTATCCCAGGAAAGGTATAGAGGAGAAAAGAGGGGCAAGAAATCAAATAAGAAGCCTCAGAGCTCAGTACTCAGCTCATCTGCACTAAGTATTTATCTCCTCAGGGTTCCCACCACATCTTGACCTAACATCCATCATTTTCATGCCCATGTGCTATTTCCCCTTCATAAGATACAAATTTTTATTTGAATTAGTAATCCCAGGATCAAAAACACAACTAAGAATATTCTACATGTTCAATAAATGTTTATTAATAGAAAAGGCAAAAAATAGCAAGTCTGATGTGCTTCAAATTCAGGGAAGTGCCAGGCTTTAGCATATTACTCAAGATGATTTTTAATCTAAGAACACACCCCTTCATTCTCTTTACTTGCGTAAGAACAGAAGTCTGTTTTCTAGACTCTACCATTTGTTTCTTTTGATCACCATGAAAACAGGAGTATTTTCTTTTTTCTGAATTGCCTGAACTCACTTAACTAAACTAAATTTTAAAACCATAGAAACTGTGTCAACTGGCTTCTGTGCTGCAGTTAATCCTTGTCAACACCCCTGGCAGGTGGGGAGAGACCAGGCTCCCTCCCGGAGACACCACGTGTGTGACAATTCCAGCACCAGCAAAGGCGAGCCTGGTTATCCTACGTGAGGATTTATAATCAGAACCTCTCCCTGGGGACGGTTTACTGACACTGGAAATTCGTCATGGTTACAAAGTACTTTGATTTCACAAAAATAAGAGGTCTCTTCTGCTGAGGTGGCGAACAGAGGTTTTGTTTTTTCTAGATTAACTAGGTAAGAACTACAAGTTCAGTGTCAAGGAGCCAAGGTTTTATCTCCCCTCCCTAAGCCAGCCTCCATCCTACTCAGAAGATTGTGACTAGTGTTTACAGTCAGTGTATTAGAGGTCTTGAGGGGAAGCAGAGGAGGAGGGCGTTTTGTCTTTGAAAGGAGGCCATCAGATGCAGGCTCCTACTCCATTGCCTGGAGAAGTCCTCGTATTCCCAACTATCGTATCTTGCTTGGAAACTAAGCAAATGCAGTTAAGACCTAGTGCTTGGCATATAGTAAGAGCTCAGTCAATATTCATTAAAAGGCTAAACAAATAAAGACAAAAAGGTAACAAAGTCTGAGTTCTGAACTTTGACTTCAGTTAGGACAATGCATCCAAGAGCTGGGGCCGGGGCCCAGACAGACCTCTGGATGGATGCTCATTAAACCTGAGGAACAACAGCAACTAACTCAGCTCCGGAATCAGAAAGGTGATCAGCATTAAAGGGAAGTTCTCTCCTCCTTACCCCACCCCTGAGACTCCAGACTAGATGTTTGTGGTGCCATTTCATACCTACTGACAAGAAATATCCTATAAAATAAAGAGATAATATGCAAATTACCATTACTCGAATACACAAGATGGCCACTCCCATGTGGTCAAAGATGGCTGCCACAAGATGGCCTGCAGGAGAGGGCAGTGTGGGTGACTAGGCTGGCAGGGGAGGGCATTTAGGGGAATCTAGACAGCAGGGAAGCAGTTAGGCATCAATCAGGCTGTCAGGGCAGTGGTTAGGAGGTGATCAGGCTGGCAGGCAGAAATGGTTAGGGGCAATCAGGCAGGCAGGTAGGTCAGCGGTTTGGAGCCAGCAGTCCTGGATTGTGAAAGGGATCTCTGACTGACTGTTTAGGCCTGATCCTGGGGTGGGATCAGGCCTAAATGGGCAGTCGGACATCCCTCAAGGAGTCCCAGACTGAAGAGGGTGCAGGCGGGGCTGAGGGACACCCCCCTGTGCATGAATTTTGTGTACTGGGCCTCTAGTATATAATAAATACCTAATACTGACAAAAGTGTTGTGCAAATTATGTCCCCAAATTCTGAAGACCTAGTATAGTGTTACAAACCTTTTGGAAAATAATTTGACCCACATGTCTAAAAAGTCATAGAAAGGTTTCTACACCCTCCCATGCCTGGGAATTTATCTAAAGCAAAATACCTAAAATTATAATATAGCTTATGCAAACTGCCTTTTTGATGTATTATTTTTCAGAAACAGTGACAAGAAACATCCTAGTTATGCAAGAATATGAAATTATTAAGTTATGGTCCATCCACACAATGGAAAAGTATTCATTCATTGAAATTATCATTGAGACTGCAGCAGGTAGAAAAGCATTTGAAATAAATTTAAAGGAAAAAACAGAATGTAAATTATACATGATAAATGGTATAACTATATCTGTTGAACAATTATGCAAGCATATGGATAAAAACTGGAAAGTTATATAAAAAATAATTGGGTTTTTAAGGTGAGTAGATTGTGTTAACCATAAAAACTGAATTTGTTTAAATCTCCAAGGAAAGAAAATGCTGACACTATTTAACAATCTCAGGGAGAGTAGAAAAACACCCCAATTCTCTTTTCAAAGACACTAATACTAAAACCAGAACAAGAGAGCACCAGAAAAGAAAGCTATAATCTTATTTCTCATGTGAATACTGATGTAAAAGTGATAAATAAAATATTAGCAAACTGAATCCAGCATTATATTAACCAAACAATATATCGTGGCCAAGTTGGGTTTATTCCAGAAATGCAAGGATGATTTGGTAACAGGAAATCTGTTCACATAATTCTCTGTATTAATAGATGAAAGGAGGAAAAACACATGATGTCATCTCAACAGAGACTGCAAAAGCTTGTGATAAAATAAACACAAAGGTTATTTCCGATTTAAAATATTTAAATTCTTAGTAACATGGGAAAAATAGGTACTTTCTCAATGTCATATTAAATCCATACATAAGGATGTAGTATTGTTACAACTATAACAATGCAGCAATGGTTAATTGATCTGATGAGTTCCTTAGAGACTAACTGGGTGCAATAACTATCCAAAGGTTCAATGGCAACCCAGCTGGTGTAGCTAAGTGGTTGAGCATTGACCTAAGAACCAGAAGGTCATGGTTCAATTACCAGTCAGGACGCATGCACAGGTTGCAGGCTCAATGCCTAGTGTGGAGTGTGCAGGAGGCAGCCGATCAATGGGTCTCTCTCATCGTTGATGTTTCTATCTCTCTCTCCCTCTCTTTTCTTCTCTAAATTAATAAAAATAAATATTTTTCTAAAGTTGAAAGGCAGACCTGCTATCAGAGAGCCCCCTGGCTTTTATGGACTATATCTTCAGGTCCAAGTTACCTAATCTCTGTACTCATTGGACAGTTCTATTATCCAGTTTCTTTCCAGGAGACCATAAGCAGGGTTTCTGTCCCATGACTGGATACTGGAAAAGTTTCCTACCTGGTAACAAAACATCCTGCAGCCATTCCCAACATTAAAGAATTAATTTTCTTCCAGTTCATGTTCATAATCTGTCCATCAGATGCCATCGATGGTAATGAAATTCATATGGTTAAAACGTAAAACATTTTCAGCACATCTGTAAAAAGAAACTAGAGACAACAGAGATGTGTTTGTTTACTTCAGAATAACATAGTAACTCTGTGCTGTTTAGTCAACTTTCCAACTAACCCAGGATTTCTAGTATTCATAATCATGACATTTGATCAAAGGAAAATACTAGAAGGGCTACATGTGGCTTATTTTTCCATGCCCTTTTCCCTGGTAGTTAAGCCAAACACAAATTTCATTATCTGGTTTCTAGTCACATTCATGAGCCATTCTGTTCCGAAATCTCAGACAATGTAACCAGGGATTTCTTAGAGGGGTTGTAGGTAAATCTGAAAAAAGAAAAACAGAAAATAGTAGTAATGGCAACAGTTTTTAGGGGCATTTCGTCAAGTGGAGGGGGGGAAAGAAAAGGTAGTGAGTAAGGATTTTTCAGTGCACCAAAAGAATTCTGTAATCTCTCCTCTTAGGAACTTGTCACTCAGGTTCACTAAGGTTCTGAGACAGCCTCAGGACAACGTGGTGTCATGGCCGTTTTTCAGCTCTCCACAAAGAACGTTCTGTAGCAGGCCGCGTCACTCTTTCTGTTTAGGGAAGCAACAACAATCATTACTGAGGGATTACCACTTGGATCTGTTCTCTTTATGGGGCATGAAGAAAAATATCTAAAATATTCTTTACATGACACTTTTATTTGGTGGTGAGGGGCAATGCTGTAGGACTAACCATACCACCCAGGAATGTGCTCACAAAGCCACCAGAGAGGAATACAACCCAGATTAACTCAACGTATTTAAGCATATTTATAATGTACTTGAAAAGTATAGAGTATTGAGAGACAAATGGAATCCTGCTATGCAGTCTACAAATATCTTTTTACATACATTTACATACATACAGCAACAACCCCATTTAAATTGATGTTAACCGTATTTTATAGGAAAAAGAATAATTAACTACCAAGAGTAATGCGTAAAAATTTAAATATCTTAATCATTGTGTATCTTACATACAAGTAATTTGTGCTTCACTTCTGAGAATTTTGAAATTAAAGACTTTATCACATGAATAATATTGGATGTGTACATGATTAAACATATTGGTCTCAGGATCCCTTTATTCTCTTAAAAAGTATTGTGTATTCTCAAGAGCTTTTGTAGGTTCAGCCCATAGGTATCTAACATAGTAAAAACTAAAACTGAGAATTTAAAAAAATATATCTATCTAATTAATTAATTTTAAAATAACAATAATGAGCCCGTTACATGTTAACATAAATAAGACATTTTTAGGAAAAATAATTATGTTTTCCAAAAGAAAGACTAAGAGAAACTGTTCTGTTTTACACATTTATAAATTATAGAAACATCTGAATTCTCATAGATATCTTTGTATTCAGTCTGCTATGGTATATAATATTGGTGATGCATATAAAGAAAATCTAGCCTCACCCAGCCAGCGTTGCTCAGTGGTTGATGGTTAACCCATGAACCAAGAGGTCACAGGTTCAATTCCTGGTCAGGGCACATGCCTGGGTTGTGGGCTTGATCCCTGGTAGGGGATGTTCAGAAGGCAGTTGATCTCATCGGTATTTCTATAGCTCTATCCCTCTCACTTCCTCTGGTCATTTTCCTCACAAATTAAATATGTGCAAAGAAATCTTATCCCAGCAAGTGTTCATTTTCTCCCCAGAGAGCACGGACTGGTCTCAAAGGAGAGGCATCGTCCCTTCTGGTCTTTCTTCAGCCAAATCCCTGGTGTTGTGAGGTCAAGGAGGCCTCCAGCCTTTTTGTCTCTCCCCCACCCCACTCCTCCCTCAAAGACCTTGCAATAGCCATTGTGGACCCATGACACCAGTTCCAAATAACCTGCTAGTCCCCAATTCTCTCTCTTTAAGGGAACTCAGATTATCCAAACAAACACTACAGATAGTAACATCTCACATCCCTGCGTATGGCCTATGTCTGAGTTTCCAATGGCAGCCAAAATGAATTACCACAACCTGTTAATGTATTCCTTCACAGTTCTGATGGCCAGAAGTCCAAAATCAAGGTGTTAATAGGATTTGTTCCTTCTGGAGGCTCCTAGGGAGAATCTACTCAGTGCCCCTCCCCTGGCTCCAGCACCCTCCATGTTCCTTGGTATGGAGCTGATAACTCCAGTCTCTGCTTCTATCTTCGCATCATCTTCTCTGTATGCCTACATCTTTGTGTGAATCTGTCTCACTCCATCTTTCTTTCCTAAAAGCACCAGACATTTGTTTTAGAGCCCGCCCTTAATACAGAAAGATCTAACCTCTAGATCCTTAATTACATCTGCAAGGACCCACTCCAAATCAGGTCAGGACACAGGTTCTGGTGAACATATCTTCTGGGGCCATCACGGTACTCACTACAGCCCAGGAAAAGGGAAGAGGGAAGAGGCCAATGCTCTTGAGAGGAGGTGGGCAGGGTGAAGGAGCTGTACACTCGCCTCTGCAAAGCCTGCGTGCTCTTCCCTCCAGACGAGTTACACTCCAGACTTGACAATCAAAAACAATGTGACCTTGCACTGAACAGGAGCCCAGTTCAAAAGAACTAATAACACAAGAATTACTTGAGTTGCATGGTGTGTGTGTTTTTTTAAAGAATTAGCATTTTCTACTTAGAAGAGCACTCCAAGACAACCAGTTTCTCACATCAACTGAAATTACTGTTATCCATACAACGCTGGACACACCAATCCACACAAAAGGGGAAAACAGATAATGAGTTTTAATGAAAGTTGACCAGAAACTTAAAGGCTCCTGGGGGTAATTACAAGGCAAGGCCACCCTGATTAAGGTTGTTTTCCTAAGAGACAAGTAAAAGTGAGTCTTTCAAAAAAAGAAACAGGGCCTGGCCAGGGTGGCTAAGTGGTTGAGTGTTGACCTATGAACCAAGAGGTCACAGTTCAATTCCCAATTAGGGCACATGCCCAGGTTGTGGGCTCCATCCCCAGTGTGGGACATGCATGATGCAGCCAATTAATGATTCTCTCTGATCATTGATGTCTCTCTCTCTCTTTCTCTCTCTCTCTCTCTCTCTCTCTCTCTCTCTCTCTCTCTCTCTCCCTCTCTCTCGCTCTCTCTCGCTCTCTCTCCCCCTTCCTCTCTCTGAAATCAATAAAAGAAGAAAGAAAAGAAAAGAAAAGAAAAGAAAAGGAAAGAAGGAAGGAAGAAAGGAAGGAAGGAAGGAAGGAAGGAAGGAAGGAAGGAAGGAAGGAAGGAAGGAAGGAAGGAAGGAAGGAAGGAAGGAAGGAAGGAGAATATATTTACATGAGAGTGGAGAACAGGCTGATCCTGGCTAGAACTGAAAAGCATAGTGACCTAGATGAAATGGAACAGCTGTAGGAATGGATGCTGCACATGCAGCAGCTTTTCCCATGCAGAAGAACGGCTCACTTGGTCAACCAAGATGTAAGGACACTAAGATATAAGGACATGCCTCTGGTATTCCTGAGATCGTGCGGAATAAAGCTCCTGTGATGCATACCACGTTAGACAGGCATGATCCCTAGGGCACTCAAATGTCTACAGATTTGTCGCTCTGATATGTGCTACAGAGAAGCATTCCAGACTAGTAGGGACCAAGCATGAATGCCAAGCAGCACTCGTGAGCTGTGGGAGGCCCCCAGGGTGATCGCAAGGCTCCCCTTCAGGGTATATCCCCAGAAGTGGACTCAGGTCAAGGAATACCACTGCCAAGTTGGCTTGTTGGAACAGAACACAGTTCCCAGGAGGGCTTGCTAGCCTGAAGCTTTTTTATCACGTGTCAGAACACTCGGGTACCCTGGCTGCCACCCCAGAGAACAACTGTCAGAGGAGCTGCTCATCCTGCTCCAAGGCTGGATTGCTAGAGGAAACTTGTGGGCAGGGGCCCAACAGCCTGCTCTCGGATGGGACAGAGACCACAAAGCACAACCCATCACTAATGTTTCATCCTCAATAGCCCTTTAAGGCACACTCACCCAGTGTGTCTGTGCTCCTTGGTGTCAATATTTCCCAGAATCTAAACCTAGTGGCTTTGCTTCAAGGAAATTTACTCTACTCGCTTAGCAGAGAGACGAATCCCCACAGGCACAGCAAGGCAGAGGCCTGAGGCATGGCCAACGAACAGGATGGCAGCCAGTAGAGTTAGGATCAGTGAGCAAAGGAGGGGGGTAGATCATGGTTTGAAGTCTAGTTTTTATTCCTAGTGTATCAAGTTGTCATCCAAAGACTTTAGGGAGGGAAATAACACCAGCTTATAGTCAGAGAAGTCCACTCCTTTCCTTTAGGTTTTGTGTGGGGGTTGTTTGTTTGGTTTTTGTTTGTGTGTTGTTGTTTTTTGGGGGTTTTTTTGTTCATTTGTTTTTGCTTCTCTGCATCAGTGATGAGTCATGGGATGGAAACAAAATCCGAGTTTCCTGGGGGGAAAAAAATCACTGCAGCATCTTTGTATTTATTCCCTTACTTGCTCATAGTCCTATTTCTTTTACAGCCCGGAACCTGAAGACTCTTAGTGTCTTCCCACATCTTTCTGGGTGCAGCCATGAAGTTGGCAGAAAGTCACTGTGAGCATTTTCACAGGGGTCATGCCTCCTGCAGCCCTGACGGCCCTTCAGCAGCTGAGACAACCCCGGGGAGATGCCGTCCGGTGCACACAGGAGAATCACGCCACTGTCACTCGGTGGCAGCAGAACAGAATACTGTCTCTCCCAGCCTGTCTTCTACAGCTCACTTTGGTTTCTTGTTTTCATCTTGGAAAAGCAATCAGTAAAAACTCAGTGCACTGCTCATGTATGACTTGTGCACCCTCCTGCAAGGATATTTACTTCAATAAACGGTAAAAAGAGAAGGCTCCGTGCAATTTCATAATGAAAGTGAAGCTCCAACATGGATGAGCTTTTCAAAGCATCCTCCCAGCATCTCCATTCTCTCTCCCACTGCTGTAACTGAGCTGCCAGGTCATGCAGTGTTTTACGTTCAGTGGTTTCTCTCTAATAATTTCTCATCAAATTACATGAAAGAGGATAGGGCTCCACCCACCCCACCGAGGTCAGCCTTGGGCCTCAGAAACTCCTTCCCCCTTCCTGACTGCCTTCTGTCAGGCCCCTCCAGCTGGCCCCTTCCTGGCTCCGTGGACCTCCTGCAGCCAGCAGTGGGCTTTCTAAGGGAACAGCGCTATTTGGGTTCTAACAAGGAAACTGGCCTGCCTTTGAGGTTCTATGAGCTCGATTTGTTCAGTCAGAACCACTGGCGCTTCAGATGGCTCATTCTGTGAATTTGCTATTGTCTGAGACACCCCGGTGCAACGGGAATGGCAATAATATCCTTTTTGTGTCAGTGAAATCGCCTGTGAACGCCTAACTCATTAACGCCGCCTGATGTTCTCATTTCCTCGGGTAAGCAACCTGAAAGCTACCTGTGCCAGCTTTATGCTCATCTGGTCACAGGTCAAGTTCTGATGCCTTGCATTCTCAAAAGCTCAAGAAAATAGTTATGCACTAGAAGTAGGATGGTGGGGGCAAGTCAGGTATTAGCTTGACATGTTACTTCCTAATGCTTGACCTGAGCCTGCTTCATCCCTCTATGTTGCAATCATTTTGGACTCAATGGAAGCCCCTCTTACACCAGCAGGTTCAGTCTGCTGCCAAGCCGCCTAAGGTCTGCTACACCGGAAAAAGGAATGCATACTTTTATTTTGTCTGTTTCTCAGGCATCGAGACCCTGGTAAATGGGAGTTACGCTTTCTTTGCATGATCACTCTCTTCTCTTCCTTTTTTACTACTTTTAGCTAATTTTATCTCCTTGAGCTGTTA